TTGTCAGAGCTTGGGGCGGGTGTGCTACTGACATCTAGTGGGCAGAGGCCAACGGTGCAGCTGAGTGCCCCGCAGCGGGCAGCCCTACAGTGTCCTTAGTGCCAGGTGGACAAACCCTGACCAGAACAATTGATCGGTATATGGAACTTAGGTGTTGATAATAGAGAATGTGGCCTTCCCCAAGTGCACGTGGAGTGTGCATGAAACCTGACCAGGGCTCAGATCACAGAGGAGACACGGGTGGTAGAGGAGGGGAGCTCATTGCGGTTTGACAGCGAGATGGGGGGAAACGTTCACTGACGTTCTGATTCGGGGCCCCTTTCTGGGCACTCAGCACCGTACTCACCCCAGAGTTACACGTGCATACCTTCACATAGGTGGACGGTGCCTACTAGGCGTGTTCCTAGCCGTGGGCTCTGTCCACAGAAAGAGACTGGGGCAGCCCAAATGCCGTCCATGGAGAGCACTCAAGTGTGGTGTTGTGCGCCCCAGAGTGGATTCCCACGCATCGCAACCTTGTGTGACGGAGGACTGCCCGCGGGGGGGGGGCACTTTGGAACTTTGCATTTTATTTTGCACTATTTGCTTTATGGGAGCTCTGGTAGCATAGTGCCTAAGGCACTTGACTGCTAACCAGAAGGCTGGCGGTTCAAATCCACCAGCCACTCCTCAGAAGGAAGGTTGGGCAATCCTACTTCCGTAGTGATACTGCCTCGGGAACCCAAGGAGGGGTCGCTATGAGTCGGGGCCAACTCGAAGGCAAATAACAACAACAACAATTTGCTTTATAAATAGATCCTGGAAATGAACGTGCTGGTAAGGCCCATTTCGGTGGTAAAATACAACATAGGGAGGAAACTACCTGAAACACACTCCTTTTGGGAAGAGTAACTGGGTAGCCACCATGCAGGCTGAGAAATGGCGGGTGAGGACAAGCCTGGAACTCAGGGTAACTTTTGCCAAGCCCGGGACCCTCTCCCCTCCAGATGTAAACGTTATCCTGGGATGTTAGGGCTCTGCCTCTATGGAAGTACAGTTGGTCCGTTTAGGATGGGGCTCCGTTCCGGCAGGGTTCTGTCGGAAATCAGTTCTTCTTCTTCTTTTTTTTTTTTTTTAAATTGTGATTTGGGTGAAGATTTGGAAATCAGTTCTGACGTAAGTCAGATACGATTTTATTTTTTAAGTTTTCATTATCATTGCCTTTTATTATCAGTATTATTATAAATCTGCTCTTTGAACATCTGGGAATGATTACATCAGCAAATTACACACTGCAGCATTGTCTAGTGCACGGTACTAACGATAAGACATACCAGACATGACGGTCACACGGCTGGTTCGTCCTGACCTGAATAGGCCGTGTCAGGGACAACCCATGTTAACAGATACTCGTAAACACGCAGCATTAGGGACAGCTTGGTGGGCTTTCGCATAGTGGACACACTCAAGAATGCCCCATAGGGTTTCTTGGCTGGTTTTGGGGAAGAGATGAGCACATCGGTGTGAGGGTTGTAGGCCGTTGCTGTTTGGTTCGGCTGGTACTGTGTTGCCTATGAGCCACAGGGATAGTGTTTTTACAAGGTTCACGGACAGCGGCAGACCTGCTTGTCATGTGACGATATGACAAGGTGTTAAGTAGAAAGAAGCCAAGTGTGATGCGGTCTGGGTTAATTGACAGCATTTATAGGTATAATTTATTTAAAAAGACATCCGTGTTAAGTTACACATATTTAAACATGTATGGCCTTTTCTGGAACTCTCTACCGGCAACCATCAACAGTGGTGCCCTCCTCGTAGAGACTTGTACGTTGGGGAGGAGGAAGGCTTTTGCCCCTAACTGCTTGGTTTACATTTTTTCTCATGTGTATGTGTGACTTCTGTAATTTAAGAATTTTTTTTTTTTAATTGTGATTTGGGTGAAAGTTTACAGAACAAATTCACTTTCCATATAGCAGTTTACATACATGTTGTCTCATGACATACACTACAATTTCCCACAATGCAACAGCTCCCCTCCCACTTCCTCCCCATGGTTACCTCTTTCCTGTGTCCATCCCTCCACGCACTCCTGTCCCCTGAGCTGTCTCCCTGTGCATAAGCAGCCCTTCTATTCTCCCATGATTGATCTCTCCAAGGAGTGTATCTACCTAATGTAAATGTTCAGCTCATGTGCCTGTCTTTTGTTTGGCTGGAAGCCACAGGTGTGGTGTGGGTTCAATTCCAGACCTGAAGGGCAGCTAGGGGCCATAGGGTCAGTGGTCCCACCAGGCTCTATCAAACTAGCAGACCTGATTCCTTTTTTTTCCCTCCCCAACTGATTTTGAGTTTTGTTCCCCATTGTTCTCCCTCTCTATCCAGGCTCTCCTCCATAGATCCCCTCTGAGTGGGTGACCGTGGTAGCCGGGCACCATCTTGTTCTTCTGGTCTCATAATCGTGTAGGCTGCAGATCGAATGGTGTACCAGTCGCTAGGACTAATTGTTCCCATGAGTCTTTGGTTTTCTTCATTCTTCTTTGCTCTGGACGAGGAGAGACCCATTGTTGCATGTAGATGGCAGTTTGCAAGCTTTTACAACCCCACTTGCTACTTGCCAAAGTAGGAGATGGAACAATGTTTTGGGTAGTATGTTATGCCAATTGAGCTTGATGTACCCTGTGACTAAAGTCCCGAGCCCACAGGTGATTTAGGACTCTTTTTAATGTTGGGTTTATTTTTTGCTGATGCTGAAAGCCATGTGTATTCATCTTGGGAAATTTCAAGAACAAAAGAGCGAAAAGAGCGAAAAGAGCTGTGTTCCTAGAAAGACCCCCTTGCTGGCCCTGGGCGGCTCTCTTGAGTCTTTTTCTGGACAGCATACGTGGGCCGGGCCAGGCCTCCATGTTAGTTCCCAGTCTTGGGATGGCTCGGGCCAGTTGCCTCTTGGAAGGGCCCTGTGGCTTGCTCCGGCCTCAGTCTCTGCTGTGTGGGGCCAGGGGCACTGGCCACCGTGCCCGTGGGCTGGGGCTCTCTGCTGCACGGGCTGACTTGGTCGTGTCCGCAGGTTCCGAGCGGGGCATGGTGGCGCGGCCCTCGCTGGAGAGCCTGCTGGCGGCCAGCAGCCACATGCTACAGGAGGCGTTGGACAGCCCCTTTGTGGACCCACTCAAGAGCCTGAGGCTGCCCCGCGAGCTGAACCCCAACAAGAAGTACAGCTGGATGCAGAAGAAGGAGGAGCGGGTGAGGGGCCGGCCTGCAGCGGGTGGGGCGGGCTAGGGCTGGGGTTGTGGGTCCCCTCTGGAGACACGTCCTCTTGCCTGGGGCCTGGCTGGCGTTGGGGTCAGCGGGGCCAGACCTGCCCCCGGCTTTTGACTCGTCATGCTGCCCTTCCCCTTCTGTGTGCTTCAGTTTACCCATGCAGCAGCCTGTTGGGCGTGCCAGACTTGGCCCTGCCACTCCCTGCCTGTGGGCCCTGGCTTTAGGGGCACTGCGTTGTGCTTTCATACATGACCTGACGTAGCACTGGGCAGTACGAATGGTTTAATGCTCTCGGCTGCTCGCTAAAAGGACGTATTTCCTGAAAAGCAGCTACTGTAAACGCTGTGGCGCTCAGTTCTACTCTGAGACACGGGTCACCGTGAGTGGAATCAACTCCGCTGCTGTGGTTATCTTCACGGGGAGGAGTCTGCACTGGGCTCCAGACCCCAGCTGGTCACTGGCAGGAACCAGGTTTACGCTGGGGTCTCTGACCCCCGAGTCCTTGCTCCTGCCCGTGAACCGTGTGTGTCCCCGCCACGGAAGGGGGTCTGGGAGCGGGCTGGGAGTTCATCTCCCTCGTCTCCTTCACCCCTGCAGATGTACGCCATGAAGTCCTCCCTGGAGGGCATGGACTCCATGGAGCTGGACTTCCGCATGCGGCTGGCCGAGGTGCAGCGGCAGTACAAGGAGAAGCAGCGGGAGTTGGTGAAGCTGCAGCGGCGCCGGGACCCCGAGTGAGTTGCCCCTGCGCCGCCCCGCGGGCAACTTAGGCAGCGCAGGGCCTGCTCGGAGCGCCGTGGCGCTGGCGCTCAGACGTGTGCGTGGTCGCGTGTGTATGGACCCGGGTGATGCGTGCGCTCCGTGCGCCCTTGCTCCACGCCCCCCCGCCCCCCCCAGGTTCACAGCCAAGCGTGTGATTCTCTTTAAGGGACAGGCGCGAGGACCCCCATAGAAGCTTGGCACGCAGAGGCCCTGGCAGGCCGAGGAAACGGACCCACGCCCTGAGCGCCCTGTCGCCCCCCCGCAAGAGAGGGAAGAGCCGCGACAGTAGCGGAAAGTAAGGCTGGCCCCTCGGTGGGTCGGGGGCTGCACAGAGCTCGGAGGGGAGGAGACTGCCTGGGCCCGGCGGCCCCCGCGCTCCTGAGGCTGGCCCGTGGGACCTTGGGTCCCTGGGGCTCGGCCCGCCTGGACGTAGCCCCCAGGGAGCACAGTGCCTGGGCTCGGAGGGTGAGCGAGGACTGGTGGAGGGCCAGGCTGTCACAGCACGGGAGGAAGGACCCCAGCGGGAGACTGTCCCATGCCAACCTGAGCGCTGCGCCGTGTTCCTGCCATGCCTGCGTCCTCCACGGCCGGGGACCTGCTTCCCCCCCTTCCTGTGCCTGCTCCTGCCGAGGGCCCGTGCAGCACCTGGTCCTGCGGCACTTGGCCTGCTGGCTTGTCCTGCCGGACCTGCTCCCTGCCGCGAGGTCTGCCTCCTTCAAGCACGGTGGGACAGGCTCCTTGGGTGGCCCTGACACTCCGTGTGGCGCACCCTGGAGGTTTTCCTGGCTGCTGCTGCAGCGGGTGCTTTCTCTAGGGCGCCACTGGACAGAGATGTTTCCGCTGTCCCTGGGTGTTGGTAGCATGAGACAGACGAAGTTCATCAGAATAGGGCTGGAGCGTCCCTCAGCCTGGGACATCAGGGTGGGTGGACACTAGGTGGCCCAGTGTTTGGCCTGTGGAAGCACAGGGTGCCTTTGGCAGGCTCAGGGGAGGCAGTGGGGCACGGCAAAGTTCTCCCCAGGAGAAAACGGCCCCGTGGCCCCCTCATTTCACACGGAGCCTCCTAGGAAGTTCCTGACTGGAGAGAGGAAGGCGAGGGGAAGAAACCCCTTATCAGCAGCCCCGGTTGGGGGGATATGGCTTGTAGAAAAGGTATCCTGGGGTGGGGCTCCTGGCCGAGGGGGCCCCTCAGTTGGGTGAACTTCCTGCTTCTGAGTCCCAGGTCCAGCACTGATTGCAACCTTGGCCCCTTGTTAGCTCCTCTGAGCCCCCGTGTCCTCAGCTGTAAAATACTGCATGTGCAGTTCCATGGGACATGAAGCACCCACACAGAGCAGGGCATGTATTATGTCGGGTGCCCGTAAGTTGATTCCGACACCTAGCAACCCTGTGTGCGTAGAACTGTAATCTTTGCGGGAGCAGGTCGCCAGGCCTTCCTTGGAGCCGCTGGGTGGATGTGAACCGCCCATCTTTCTGTTGGCAGCCGAGTGCTTTGCCATTGTGCACCCAGGGTCCTTATAGGACATGTATCACACAGCAAATGAAAACAAGCTGCTTTTACGAGGATTACTTGAGAAGTTAGAGTGCAAGGCAGCTGCAGGATACTGCCTTCTAGGAGGCCAGCAGACGGCCCTTCAGCAGAGCCTTGTGGTCTTAATCGCCTTCCCTGCTCCCATCTTGGTGGATTTCCTTGGCATTTCTGATCCTTGTCCTTGGCGCGTTTTGGTAAACCGGTCCCTAACCGTGTAGAGATGTGTGTGAGTGTGTATGTGCGTGTGTGAAGGAGCACAAGAGAGGAGGCTGGCAGAGGAAGCTAACTTGACGTTTCTCTTACGCTCGAAACTCACATCCTGCCTCACTCACAAACATCCCAGACTGGCCCCCGTCATCCCTGTGTGTGGTGCAGCGCCCAGCGCCCAGCCCTGCAGGGCTGCGAGGGTGGCCCCCTAGTCCGCATGTGTTGCCCGGCCGGGGTGCTGACCAGTGATGCGTTTGGGTTTCAGGCTGAGCAGCAAGGCCCTGCTGACATCTGATGACTTTGAGCTGGGAGCTGGGGTAAGGAAGAGGCACAAGGGGGCCGAAGAGGACCACGATGCCCTCATTGGAGTTGGGAAAGCGAGGGGCAGGAACCAGACTTGGGACGAGCATGAGACCTCCTCCGACTTCATGAGCCAGGTCAGTGATCCAGTCTCCTGGGGGTGTCTGAGTTCACGCTGCTTCTGCAGGTCTTTTGGCCCCATTACAGTACAGAAACTCTAGTGTCAGAACGACTCTTGTCCCATCTTCCTTGTTGTACCAGAAGAAAATAGAAAGGAAACAACTCAACCCTTGGCCATTGAGTCAGTTCGGACTCACGGCGACCCTGTGTCACAGAATAGGTTGTTCCTTGGGGTCTTCTTGGCTATCACCTTTACAGACAGACGCAGGTTGCCAGAGTTTTCTTCCACGGTGCCACTGGGTGGGTTCGAACTGCCAACCTTTAGGTTAGTAGCTAAGCCCAAACTTTTTGTACCACCTTGGGACCTTTTTTATCAGAGAGAGGGAGAACTTAAGGCCTAGAGGCAGTCAAGGACTTACCAAAAAGTCCCTGAGGCTGAGCTGGGACCAGAAGCTCCTTTCCTTGTGACACATCTGTGTGACCTTTTGGTGACATCAGCAAGGAGACTAGGTTTTTTCTCAACCATAATGATATGATCACTCTGTTGGTGACCATGTAGTTGTTCAAGGAGAGCTTCACCGTTTGGCAGTTCTAAGGAACAAGGGCTGATGCCACTGTAATTTCCTCTGTGAATGTTTCAGGGGTGATGGGTGAGGGCCAACTCCTTAAGATCATCCATTTAGGGCCCTCGTCTATAAGTATCAGTCCACCTTGTCATCTCTCCCCAGGACGCCCTCTGTGGAGGGCCTGTTTTGGTAGATCCAGCCATCAAATGTTCTTACATAGGGACACCAGATACAGGAAGGGGAAAGACAGCCAGTTTGTACTTCCGGATCCTTTTTTCTGCTCAAATCATGAAGGATACTTGAGTTGTTTAAAAGATGCTATCCCAGCTTTTCGCCTTATGAAATGCTGCTCCACTGAAGAAAATGGAGATAAAACTTTCAAAGGAGGGGCTCTGACACGTTACGTTTCATTTCACATCAACAAATGGCTACCCTTGGCGGTAGAGGTGCAAGCAGGAATTTAATCTGAGAAATCTCTAATCATTCTTTCTGCTTCAGGCAGCCACAGCACATGCCAAGCACTTTCTTGGCAGCTCCTGCCCATGTAGTTGGATGGCTGACTTAAGACAGCGCAACTGTCTTCTTCAGCTGGTCTAGGTGGTTGAGATGAGCAGGCCTGCCCTGGTACAATCTGGTTTGTCCATCTTGGTTTCCTTCCGCCTCCTTTAATCCAGCTGCCTTCTCCAGCTCACGGTGAGCTCTGCTTGCCTTAAACGATTCCCTGCGAGGCACCAGAAAGCCAGAGTGGAAGGGCCAGTGCCAATGATAATTGTAACCACAGTAGCAGCTACTTAGCATGTGGTTAGCTTGTGCCAGGCGCTATGATACGTGCTGTTATCCCCATCCATCTTCTGCACGGCCCTTGCTGCCCGTACATAAGCTCTTCATTTTGCATTGTTTCAAGAACTGAGGCGATGAGCTTTACAGACTCCCAGAGCCAGGGTGAAGGGCAGTGTTCCCGGTTCACCCGTGTGCCCTGAAACCCCTCGGCCATTTTGCCACGTCTTAACCCGTGACCCAACTTCCTCTCCAGCTGAAGATTAAGAAGAAGAAGATGGCCAGCGACCAGGAGCAACTGGCCAGCAAGCTAGACAAGGCCCTCTCCCTCACCAAGCAAGACAAGTTGAAGTCGACCTTCAAGTTCTCGGACAGTGCTGGGGGGAAATCGAAAACTAGCGTGGGCTGTAGCAGGTATTTGACTCCTTACGACAGCCTGCTGAGCAAGGACAGGAAAGCCCTGGCCAAAGGCCTCGGTCTGTCTCTGAAAGCCTCCAGGGAAGGTAAACACAAGAGGTCGGCCAAAGCCAGGAAGATGGAGGCGGGGTTCAAGGCCAGAGGCGCGCCCAAGTCTGGCCACTCCCCGTTCACCTCGGAAGTGAGCAGTTACTCCTACAGTAAGTAGCGGACGGGCCAGCCGCCTGTTCCTTCTGTCTTTGTTTCCCTTTGTTTGACGCACTCAAAGACCAATTAGTTTCCGTCTGTCTGCGTTCTAGGCAGGAAGTGGGCTGGGGGGGGCACCGGAAGCGGAAGTGCTTGTGATTGACGGTCGCGGGTGAGAGGGAGGTGCTTGTGATTGGTGGGTATTGGGTTTGGCGGCCTGCAATTGGTGGGTGGGAGCAGAAGCTTCCTGCCGCCCCTGCCCTCAGCTGGTTTGCCGGAAGTTACCAGTTTGGATGGCTTGGGTTGGAAGAAGCCTCGAAGTGTTTGAGATGACTGTGCCCCGCCAGCTTTGAGGAAACGCCCCTTTGCTAACTGACAAGCATATAGCAACATTAAGTGCTACAGTTTTTATACCACATGTATTATTAAAAAGTGTATATATTGGCGCCAAGACTCGGTTAGGGGTTAAGTAAACTTTGAGAGGCGGGGAGAGTTGGAGCTGAGATTAAACGTAGGTCTACGCGATTTTGCTGTGCGATAGAACTTTCTGGAAATGTTCTCTATTTGTGTTGTCCAAGATGGTAGCCGTCTTATGGCTATTGCTTGAAATGTGGTCTTTGCAATTGAGAAACTGGATTGAGTTAATGTTGATGATTTTTTACTTTAATAGTCCTATGTGACTCCAGACTAGCATATTGGGGTGCCTTCCCACACAACTCAGATTATACCCTTGTGGTTTTCCTGAGCAAGACAGCTTTGGCTTCTTCAGTGGGTGCCCTCCATGGCCTTTTGGGGTCTGGAGGGTGTATTGTTAACACCTTCCACACAGCATGGGTACCAGATATGTTAGTTAGGGGAAGGCCAGAAGGACCACCTTGGATTCTAAGGGCACCTCCCCCCTTCAGTCTGGCTGCGGTGAAGGACTCTTTCCGCGGCACCCGCGTATCTTCTGTTCGTCTTGAACTTTTGACTGACTCTGGCTGGCTCATTGGGCAGCGTTCGAATGTCAGGATGCAAATGAATGTCGTTACATGTGTTTTCTCAGGAAGGAAAATAAGACTTGTATTGATCTGTGATGTTGACAGCCTTACTTGTGCACCTGAAGTGAGCCATATAGGAGACGCCCAGCGTGTACCTGGCCCAGCATGAAGCTGTGCTTCCTTTTTCGGTGTTGGTGCCTCTAGGTGTGTTGCACAGGTGGGGGTGGCATGAGCTGCTCCTCTCCACGCTCTGTGGTGGGCATGAGTGCTGTGGACACTGAGGTTGAGGAGGCGCCCATGCCCTTCTGATTCATTCGTATGAGTGCGGTCAGAATAGCACTGCCCAGCCCCCTGGCCACGGTGTGGGCGCAAGGAGAAAGCGGTGATGTCAGAGACTCAGGGCCATAGACGAGAAGTGGATCACTCCCTCTACGCTTTCCCCCTCAGCTGTTGGGGTAGCGCAGGACGGGTTGCGGGGCTGGCGTCTCCTTTGATCTCCTGAGGCAGCATGATCTGAGTGTGGCCTAGCTGTCACTGGAGAAACTCTTGCTGCCGTAGTTACAGATAGGAGTGCATGGATGGCAGCTAGAGGTCAGTGACAATCTCCATCTCTGAGGCCTTCAGGGTGCTCTGGGCTGCGGGGTCTCCTGCAGCCAGGGGTGATCGCACATCAAGGAATGTTCACAGTTGCTGACATAACCTGGTTTTACCTTTATCCCAAACTCTACTGGCTGTCAGACCAGTTACTGTTAATTCCAACTTACGGTGACCCCGTGGGGGTTAGAGTACAACCTCACTCCTTAGCGTTGGCAAGGTGTGGCCTTTTGGAAACAGATTTTTCGTTTCTTCCGAGTCACCTCAGGATGGAGTCAACTGCTAGCCTTTCTGCTAGTAGTCAAGCACTTAACCATTTGTGCCATCCATGGGCTCCTAAGTCAAGAGAAATAGGTTCAGGTTGCGACAGGAAGTCAGAAAGCCTGTCCCCAGCTAGAGGATGGCTGTGGTATGCCACTGGCTGTGGAGAGAGTGCCTATTTTTTGTTTTCATTTTAATTAAAAACAATTTTTATTTTTACTTGCTCTTTTGCAATTCTAGGCAGATGAGGGTACGGCTCTGAGGAGGGCGGGGCTGTTTAGTTTGGGTTGGAGGTGGTGGGTGGCACGTCTGGTGGGTTCCTGTGGGAAGACAGTTTGGTTGCTGTCATCAGTTCATCACAGGAGTCTGGCCTGGAGTATGACCTCAGGAAGGACAGGAGTTGGAGGAGAATCCGGGAGCCTGTGGATGGGGATGGCAGCATGGTGTGACTTGTCCCACCCCTTGTCCCAGGCCCTCTGTGATTGGTCTTGCTGGAGTGGAAAGTGTAGTGTTTGTGGAGCAGAGACCAGCGCTGTAGCTGCCTCTGTTAACGATCCGTTCCCTGTGGTCTGTGGCAGATGAAGAGATTACGGTCTTTGGCTCTGGGGCCTTTTCTTCCCATCTTGTTTGGCAGCCCGATGTGAGAAACAGATAGAAGGGGTGTGAGTGTCTGGGGCGGGATTGGAAGGGACCAGCGCTATGCCGCTTTTCCTTCCCAAAGCCTGGTTGACCTTCTGCCAGGAAAGTTTGAAAACAGTTAGGCCCGAGACTCTGGGTCAGGGAAGCCAGCACCGGTGAGCTGGTCAGCCAGCTCTCTGAAAGGAAGAACAAACACCCTGACTTCTAACGGTTAGCCGTGGTGTAAATACTTCCACCAGGGCTGACGAGTTGATGTCGTTGATCAGGAGAACTGTACAAGGCAGTTCCATCTTGCTGCTGGGTCTGTGTACTTTGGGGAGAAGAGCTTGACTGATTTTTATTCCCTGGGTCATCTCCCCCACCCCTGCCTCCCCAAGGAGCCCCTGGGCTGAGCTCAGTCACCGGGGATAGGGAACTGGCAGTGACCACCCTGACTCCCGTGTGCCTGGTGAACTGGTCTTGGCTGAAGTGGGGGGTAGTGGGTGATGCTGGCAGCATCAGCCTAGAACGGGCCTGGCTCCAAGCACACGGAAGACCAGCTACGTGAGGCCTGCGACTTGGAGGCCTTCTCAGGTGAGAGGCAACAGGCCCAGGCCAGGGAGGAGAGTCTGGTGTAACCGAGCTTTTTTTCCTTGGCCAACAGGCATCTGCATCTCTCCGCTCTGGCTTGCACCAGAATGTCCCCCAAACCACTAAGCGCAGTAAAATAAAGACACGGCCCCTCCCCCAGCACCTGTGACTTACCGCTATTAAAAACTACTTTGACCACAGATACCGACTCTGAGGAAGAGGAGGAATTCCTGAAGGACGAGTGGTCCGGCCAAGGCCCCTCCAGCTCTAAACTGCCATCTTCCATTCTGTGTGGCATGGTGGCCAAGAACAGCAAGCCAGCTGGAGGCCCCAGGCTGGCCAAGCGGGGCCTGGTGACCACCCGGACTCTCAAACCCAAGCCGGCCGCCAGCAGGAAGCAGCCATTTTGTTTGCTCCTGCGAGAGGCTGACGCGCGCTCTTCCTTCAGTGACTCTTCTGAGGACTCGTTTGACCAAGGTTACTAGCTCAAAACACAAAATACCTTACGTGTTTTCTAGCGAGAGAGTGAGTGAGAGCGAGAGAGAAAGAGAGAGAGATTGAGAGAGCATGCCCACAAGAGAGAGATGGCCGACTCTGAGGCCGTCCATCTTGGATGGCCCCAGGAAGGGTGGCCATCTTGGTTCTTGGCAGCGTAGGCTGCCTTATCCGCGTAATTATTTTTATTTTTGTTTTCATTTGTACCTGTATCATTGCGGTAATGTCATTGGCTAGCTCTTTTTGAGCTTTTATACGGACTGGCTTTTAGTCTTCACTTTTCTCCTCTCTCCCGCCTCTCCGCCCCTCCCGTCCCTCCCCTACCCCGAGTTCCTTCTCACTTTTTCTGCCCACCTAGACGCCAGGCTTGGGTTGGGTTCTCTTTTGGCATGGGCGGCCCGGTGGAGGCTTCCTGAGGAACATTGTGTAGATGGAATTCTGTCGTGTGGGCGTGTGACTTGATGTCTGTACCGCGATTTTGGTAATACCAAGCTTTTATTAAACATACCGAGTTCATTTTTAACTAAACCCGTGTGCCTTGTCTCTCTTGCTGTGTCCTTACTAGACGGTTAGGTTGACGCTTCCCTCCATTTTGTTCCTCTTCCCTCCCCCCTCCTCCTCCCCCCTCCCCCAAAAGGAGTCGCGATGGAAGTAACGCACTCTCCTGCTTTTCTCTATTATTCAAATATCCCTGGTACCTATTGGCACCCATTCCATTTTGCAGGTTTAAAGTCAACCGCTTTCACCCCCAGCATCGTCTTTTTTGTTTCAGTTCTTGAGCTGCGAGCTGCTTGTTTGTTTTTTATTTTCTTAAGCTCTGATTCGCACCTGGCACTGGTTAAGGAGTAATGACACGTCAACACTTGTGTTCCAACACGTGTCTAGGCTTTGAAGGCACATGGGCCATGCAGGGGCAAGGCAGTTGGACATGTCCCGTTTTTGTTAAGTGCCGCAGCACCGGCTTCATGGCCGTATTGAGGGGCGCAGTGTGGGGCTTCGGAAAGCACACTGGCCTGGGAGTCCAGAGGGCCGCTTTGGCCTCCCGCCTCAGCCAGGGGGTCTCCGTCCCAATCCTTATAAAAAGAGAGGGTCAGAGACCCTGGGGCCTGAGAAGCTTCTGCCTCTGAGCTATGATCTCAGAACTGGACTTCTGCAGTTAGAGATATCGGGGACCCTCCATCCCCTTCTGTCAGAAATGTCCCAAGAAGGGGGAACAGGTGAATCTTGGGAAGTGGGTCTGAGCCCCCGTTTTGGGCTTTGCTTCAGGACAGAGCCCTGTTAGGGTCAGGGAATTGTCCTGAGCTTGGGGAACAGCACCTGCCTCTTGACCCTTGGTGCTCCTTGAATCAGGCCCCGGGGGGTGCACATCTGGACACGGACTCGCAGCTGGAGCTGAGCCCCTCGGGCTGCAGGCCTGGTCCTGGCTTCCCTCCTCCCTCCCCACATCTCCCTTCCAAATTGGCACAGACCCCTTTGGGTGCCCAGGAAGTGGCATGGCACGGCCATACCCGTTTGGGCTTGCAGTCTCCTGGGCCACTGCCAGGGCAAGGAGAGAGGCCCCATGTCTTCCAGCCAGCCTGGTTTCCAAGGCCTCCCCCAGCCCGGGGCCTTGGGGTCCAGTTGAGTTGGTTCTCTGCCACCCTCTCTCTCTGCCCTGGAGCCTCCCTCTCCCGCCTTGGCCGAGTGCCCCTGGCTCCTCCCAGGCACCCTTTTGCTCCCCCTCTAAAGCTCGGGTTCAGCTTGCCAGCGTTTGCACCCTCTCGCCTGAGTTGAACCCCTGAATCGAGTCAGGTCCTCCTCACGCCCACTCCAAGCTCTTAGGAAGAAGTGGGTAGAGGGAGCTGGGGGTCTTCACCCAGAGCTGGATCCCGGCAGCACCAGGGGCCAGCCCACCCCGTGAGAACCCAGAGCCAGGAGCAGAAGGGGTGAGGGGAGGGGGGGACAAGGCCCCCTGGCTTGAGATGCTGACTGGGTTGCCCCTCCACCCGGCAAATGGACCTTTGATCAGACCTTGCAAAGGGATATTTGGGTAATGGGGCCTCCCTGACCCCAATACTAAACCCTTAATCGGCTTGGCTTTTCTAGTATGTCTGCTTCTCCCCCAGCAGCTTGACCATCCCTTCACCCTTGACCCCTACCCATGATGCTTTGAATGTCTGTTTCGGTCTCTTGCATTTGCCCCCACGCTGCACTCTGGACGCAAAGCGGAGGCTGGGAGTAGGCAGACAGCGCGGCAGGTCCCCGAGCTTGAGCCCCAGCCCGGCTCGTTGCTCTGTAGGTAGGCAAAACGCTTTTCTTTCTGTGCCCCCTCTCCACCTCCCCTCCTCGGGGTGTGCCCCCACTGGGTATGGCAGCAGGAGGTCGTCTTGGCATTTCTTGGGCCTGGGGCAACCAAACCAAGTACTGGCAGCCAAACTCCATACATCCGGATCCGAGATTGAAAAGCAAGTTTTTCTGCGTTTTCTTGGGTTACTTCCTTGGGGGTGCCTTTTTTCCCCCACCCTTGGCTAGCTCTGTTGCCTCACGTGTGGATCACTCCAGAAGGGTTTTTGGGGATCCCAGGCCCCCTCTGCCCCCGTGGAAGGAGCTAAGACCTTGCAGCCTCCCGGCCCCATGACACAGGTCCCAGCAGACCAAGCCACCTTGGGGAGCCTGTCCCATTCCAAGATGGTGCCTCTGCTTGGCGGAAATCCCACCCCTTTTTGGCTCTTCACCTTCCCAAACGCTCTGCAGTTCCAAATGCTGGGATCGGGCTGTTCCTGGCCTTCTGGGATCTGAAGTCCAAGTCTTGTAACCCTACCCACCCGTGAAATATCGGGGTGGAATGTCCCCCTGCCCCCTTCCATTCCTGGAGTCTCCACACTTGAGCAGCCAGGGAAGGGACCTTAAGAAGGGAAACTTTCCGGCTCCCTGTCCAAGCTCCACGCCCCCGCCCCAGCCAGCCCCAACAGCCCCCCGCTTCTCCAATTGGCCAGGCCCAAGCAGGCCCGCTAGGGGGGACCCAGGTGCTGTGGGAAGTCTGCCCACGCTTAGCCCGCTTTGCCGCTGTGGCCCGCTGGGCGGAGATGAGCCATGTGACGTCACCATGTGAATGGATTGCATGTGTGCACTGTCTGCCTGCCCCCCTGCCGCCTGCCCGCTGGCCCCTCCATTCTGTGCCATCCATCGCTCTGGAAACCGCGCCTTCCCTGCCTCGCGCTCCTCCTAACAGAACCCTCTCTGCCTCTTCCTCTCTCTGCCCTTTTGATGTACTCCTTCAGTCCTTTACAGCAGGGACTGGGCTTCCTTTGTAGCTGGGCACACACACGCTGCCCTCACGGGCACCCCAGCGCGTGGCAGGAGAACGTGGACTTGGCCATCTGACTTCATCCTTCCGTCCGGAGCCCAGTCGCCTCCCCGGACACAGTGTGGAGGGGAGATGGTTTGCACTTGCTCTCTGCTGGTTATTCCGGTGGCATGGTCCAGACCTCACTCGGGCCTGCCCGGGGCTTCTAGCCTGTGAGCAACCATCCCCAGCCAGGCCCCTGGGGCAGTTGGGCGCTTGAGGTGGGTGCACAGACTTGGATGTGGTGCTTGTCCTTTGACTTCTGGAGGGGACCTGGCCATGGCTGTCGTAAGGCAGACTTAGCCCGTAGGATACCTCCCGCCTGCCCGCCCTCGTCAGGGACCTCTTTTTGATGGTGGGTTTGGCTCAGTTGCAGGCGCATCGTCTCCCCTGCTGTCCCCTGCAGGCACTGTTGACCTTCAGCCTGGGTCGGAATTGCCCCGGCTGGCTCAGGCCAGCAGGCCCAACTGCTGAAGAGAAAGCCTGCCTTGGCAACTGGTCACCCAACTGAGAACACCCTGGATGTGAGCAGGGTGACTGCTTTCACCCACCATTCTGAAGCCCCCGGCCAGGGCAGGGACTGGCACCTTCTTCTTTTTGCTCTGTTTTCAGGGAGGCGTTATTCTTTTTTCATTTGGTTGTGGGTAAGCAAAGGCGCTCTGGTGGCATAGTGGTTAAAGCAGTTGGCTGCTAACCAAAAGGTTGGCTGTTTAAACCCACAGCTGCCCCAAGGGAGAAAGCTGAGGCAGTTGGCTTCTGTGAAGATTGACAGCCTTAGAGACCCTGTGGGCAGCTCCACTCTGTCCTCTAGGGGCGCTGTGGGTCGGAATGGACTCCATGGCAGTGGGTGTGGTTTGGGCTTCTGTGAAGACTGACAGCCTTGGAGACCCTGTGGGCAGTTCTACCCTGTCCTCTAGGGGTGCTATGAGCCAGAATTGATTAGACAGCAGTGGGTTTGTGTTTTTCCTTTATTTGGTGGGTAAGCAAAGTCCCTGCATGGCATAAGCGGTTTGCCTTTGACGACTAACCTAGAGGTTGGTGGTGCCAGGAAAGAAAGGCCTGCTGACACCTGGGGAGCAGAGTTCCGCTCTAGAACAGGTGACCAGGTGGGGTTGGTGTGAGTCAGAACTGACTTGGAAGCAGCTGTTTTTGTTTTGTTTTGTTTTGTTTTTAAACTAAGCATGGCAGCCAACCAGCCCTGGGTTCAAATCAAGAGTAACGTCCATCTTGCAGTTCCATTGCCAGTGGGAACAGGTGTGTTCCTTTTTGGCAGGTGTGTGTGTGGGGAGGCTGGGAGATGAGCAGTAGGGGCTCTGAGAGGGCCAGCGGCGGGCCTAGGGTTCCCACACGTGGGTGTGTTGACGGGAACTCAATTTTGGACTTGAACCTGTGAGTTTGCCACCTGCCTCTGGAAGAGACCAAGCTCCACCTTCTCCTACCACCAGCCTCTGGCCTCCAGCTCCTTTGAGGGTGCCTGGAACCCAGAACCCCCCGCTGTGCCCCAAGGTCACTTCTCACCGTCCTCCTGGCCTCTCCCTGAGCCTCCTCGGCCCTTCTCCTCTCTCCTGCCTCCTTCTCAGCCTTCATGTTGCGTGTCGGGGCGTGTGTGTGTGTGTGTGAGACCGTGGAGGGAGTTGTCTCCAGTCCTTGTCTGTGTGTCTGTCCCTGCCCCAGCCGAGGTGCATGTTGGTACCTGCCTACAGAAGCCCACCCCGACACCCACAGCCGCTGCTGTCTCTGGGCCGCTCAGGGCTCCCTCGTCTTGAGCTCCGTGGGATGGGGTGGCGGGGACACAGGTGGGAAATGCTGGGGGCTCTCAGCACTCCCCAGCTACCCCGTGCTGGCACCAGGCCGAGTGCCGGCGCTGGGCTCGGGTGGCGGTGGGTGGTGGCGTGCGCCCAGACCACGGCTCTGACTTGGCCCCTGTTTTCTGCCAGATGAGAGCTCCGAGGAGGAAGACGAGGGGCTTGAGGAGGAGGAGGAGGAGGAGGCCGAGGCCGGTGGCGGCTATAGGCTGGGGACCCGGGAGCGGGCCCTGTCGCCAGGCCTGGAGGAGAGCGGGCTGGGCCTGCTGGCACGCTTCGCAGCCAGTGCCCTGCCCAGCCCCACTGTGGGGCCGGCCCTGTCGGTGGTGCAGCTGGAGGCCAAGCAGAAGGCCCGGAAGAAGGAGGAGCGGCAGAGTCTGATGGGTGAGCCTCGGGCAGGGAGGCCGGGCCCCGGGCCCCGGGCCCCGGGCCCCTTCAGCTGTGGGGCCCCTGAGGCTTGGAGGAGGGAGGGGCAGAGCTGGTGGGGGAGCCTCTGCTTTGTGGGCTCGCTGCCTCGAGCCGGGCACCTGCCTGGCCTGCTGTGACCCAGGACCGTGGGGTGACCTGGCTCTGCAAGGAAGGGACCTCAGTGGGCCGCCATTCACGTGCTCCACACATGTGGCCTGCCCTGCCCTGTTCGGGAGGTTCTGGGCAGCAGAGAGGCCTCAGGAAGGCCCACAAGGAGGGTGGGGAATGCAAGGGAGGTCCCTGGCCCAGCCTGGGGGTCGGGGAGGCCCTTACAGGGTGGAGCCAGGAGCAAGAAGTAGGAGCTAGCCCAGCGAGCCGAGATGTCTTGGTGCAGGCCAAGGGGATGGGCCTGCAAAGGTGTGGATGGAGGAAAGCTCTCCAGGGCTCGGTGAGGTGGGCTGGGCCCAGGTGGGCAGGCCTCATGGAGCCTGGGGCTGGTATCTGAAGGAGTTAGAGGTTAGGGTCGCTGACTCTGCTTCCAAACAAGATCATGTTAAGAGGTACAGGGGTGACGTTGACCCGTGACACCACATTCCACTTGATCATCTCGGTAGGTGCAGAAAGAAAAGTTCATTGACCCAATTCAGTCCCCATTCACACACAGAAGGGAACTTTCCCGATCGGATGGTGTCCTGGTTGCTGTATTGGGTCATCACGGCTGCTCGGTCGGGCCCGCCCACTGCCCAGGTGGATACTAATGGGGCCTGTCTGCCTCCCTTACCTTCAGGGGCTCAGTTTCCTCCTCCTGTCTCTGCATCTCTGATTGCTTCCTAGTCATCACCTTGGAAGGAACGGCCCTCAGGTCCCGCTCCTGGCCCCACCTGATGCTCCCCGGGTCTCACGTCCATGCATGGCCCAGTCCAGCTGAAGGTGGTTTGAAACTGATTCTGTAGGTGCTCCTGTCGGGAGCTCACCTGGCCCCTACGGGGTAGGGTCCTGGGACTGGCTGGCCCAGCCACCCTGCTGTCTCCCTTGGCCCTTTTCTGTGCCACAGGACAGGCTGGAGCTGCTCCTGCCAGGGGCCGGGACCAGGGAAATAGGACACTGTGGTACCACCCCGCTGTCCCCGTGTCCTCCGCCCGCAGGCCTCCCCAGTCACACTTGGCTTCCTGCACGCACACTAGGCTTCAGGCCCCGGCCCTGCTGTCTTCCCCCTCCCCTCTCCACGTTGCTGTTGGTTTTGTTCTTAGCTGCCGTGGTGGTGGACTTCAACTTGGGGTGGCCACAGCCACAGTGGAAGGAAACACTGGCCGGCCCCGCGTCTTCCCCGTGCTTGGCTGGCGATCAGACCACTGTGACTCACAGTGTTTTCATTGGCTGATTTTGGCAATCAGATCAGCGGGCTTTCTTCCTAGTCTTACTTTGGAGGTTCTGGTGAAATCCGTTGAGCATCACAAGCCTCTGCTGACAGGCGGTGGTGGCTGCACACTGAGGTGCTGTAGCCGGGAGTCGAACCCGGATCTCCCAGGAAGGCAAGGATTCCACCACTGAAGCCCCACGGCCCCTCTCACGCCCACGTCCTGCCCGTAGGCCCTGTGCTGTCTAGCCGGTGAGTCTGGCTCCCCTGGACTACGGCACTGGCCCTCCTCCAGGCGTCCCCCACAGTCACAGGCTCTCCCTCCAGGCCCGTACTTGACCCGGCTGCTGCTTTGCTCAGAACCTCTCCCCTGCCCTCTGTCCAGGTCCCACCTCTCCCACCCTGCGGGCCAGGTGCTGGTTGCTCAGTCGCATCATCCTGTCAAGAGCCCCCAGTGCAGCTCCTGAATCTGCCAGGTGTCCTCTCACCTTCAGGCTCTTGCAGCTGCTCCTTCTACGGCCCCAAACGTCGTTTCATCCAGATTGTCAAATGTGCTGGCGTATAGCGGTTCCCGGATTCCCTTCTTGATGCTGTCAATGGCTGAAGCGTCTGTAGCGATGAAGCCTCGCTTACGGCTCATGCGGATTTGTTTCTTCTCTGTTTCTTTTTAGACTGTGATTTGGGTGAAAGTTTACAGAGCAAATTCACTTTCCATCCGTCAGTTCACACACATGTTGTTTCGTGACCTTGACTACAATTTCCCAAAATGCAACAGCTCTCCTCCCACTTCCTACCGACAGTTACCTCTTCCCTGTGTCCATCCCTCCATGCCCTCCTGCCCCCTGAGCTGTCTCCCTGTGCATACATAGCCCTTCTATTCTCATGTGATTGGTCTCCCCAAGGAGTGTATCTACCTCATGTAATTGTTCAGCCCATATGCCTGTCTTTTGTTTGGCTGGAAGCCACAGGAGTGGGTTCAATTCCAGACCTGAAGGGCAGTTAGGGGCCATAGTCTCAGGGGTTCCACCAGGCTCTATCAGACCAGCAAACCTGGTCACCCCCCCCTTTTTTTTTTTGTATTGTTTTTGAGTTTTGTTCCACATTGTTCTCACACTCTATCTATCCAGGATCTCCTACAGAGATGCCCCTCTGAGTGATTGACAGTGGTAGCCAGGCACCATCTAGTTCTTTTGGTCTCATAGTCGTATAGGTTGAGGATCATATGGTGTACCAGTCGCTAGGACTAATTGTTTCCATGATCTTTGTTTTCCTTCATTCACTCTTCTCTGTTTCTTTGTCAGCCCGGCTAGAAGGTAGCTTTTTTTTTTCCTTCTCTATATTCTTTGGTTTTATTTCCATTCTCGCTCATCATTTCCTTCTCTTTGTCTTGGGTTTATTTTTAGCCACTTCTGACCATTTCTTAAGGGGAAACTTAGATCATTGATTTGAGACCTCTTTCTTTTCTAACAGGCGCTCTGGTAGTGTTAAGGCATTTGGGCTGCTAACCAAGGGATCAGCAGTTCAAACCCACCAGCTGCTTCATGGAAGAAAGATGAGCAGTCTGCTTCCGTAAAGATTTACAGCCTTGGAAACTCAGTGGGGGTCACCGTGAGTCGGGCTTGACTCCACAGCAACGAGTTTGGTTTGAGTTTTCTAACAGAGATACTTAAAACTATAAAGTTCTTTCTAAACATTGCTTTAGTTGCGTTCCACCAAGTTTGATACGTGGTTATTTCATTATTGCTCAGTTCAAACGGTTTTCTGATTTATCTTGTGATTTCCACTCTGACCCACTGATGACTTGTTGTAGCTGCTGGTCACTGCCTTGCGCAACCTGACCGGACCGTTGTGATCCGTAGTGTCTTCACTGGCTGAGTTTCAGAGGGACATCATTCAGGTTTTTCTGCCTCGTCTCTTAGTCAGCATCATAGCATCGCAAAAACTTCACCGACAGCTGGTAGCTACACTTTCATTTAATTTCCAATTATTTGGTAGATTGCCTGGTTATTTTACTTGTAAATTAATTCCCTCTTGGTCAAAGAACATACTTTGTATGGTTTCAACTTTTTACAATTTTAAAACGTTGGAAGTACATGCTGTTTGTTGTAAATGGACTATGTGCACTTGAAAAGAACACGTATTCCGACACTATGTTAGATGCCGTCGAGTCAGCTCCGACTTGTAGCAATAGAACGGAACATGGCCCGGTTCTGCGCCAGCCTCACAGCCCGGGTGTGAGCCCAGCGTTGCAGCCACTGAGTCAATGCATCTGATTGGGGGTCGCCTCCTTTTTCTCTAACCTCTGCTTGCAAGCATGATGGCCTTCTGTAGGAACTGGTCTCTTCTGACGACATGACCAAAGTAGGTGAAACAAAGTCTGCTTTCTTGCTCCAAAGGAGCATTCTGGCTACACTTCTTCCAGGACAGCTTCTTCCAGGACAGCTAGGTTCGTCCTTCTAGCAGTCTATGGTATTTTCAGTTTTCTTCGCCAGCACCACAGCTCAAATGCATTAGTTCTTCTTCATCTTCCTTACTCACTGTCCAGCTCTCACACACATACATGAGGAGATTGAAAACAGCATGGCTTGGGTTGGGTGCATCTTAGTCCTCAAAGTGATATCTTTACTCTTCAACACTTTAAATAGGTCTTTTGCAGCAGATTTGCCCAATTCGGTACGACATCTGATTCTCTAAATATCCATATTGCTGATACGTTGTTCAGATCTTGTACGTCTTTGGTAACTTTTTTGGTCTAGCGCTTTGACTAGCTGCTTGGAGACAGGTGTTTAAATCTTGACTTTGATTGCAGGATTCTTTATTTCTCCTGTCCACTGAATTCTGCCAATTTTTGCTCGTGTGTTCGAAGCTCTGTCAGGTACAAACACACTTAGGATTTTGTTTGCCCCAGAATTGACCCTTTGGTTATGATGAAGAGCCCCTCTTTACCTTTGGCAATGCATTTTGCTTTGGGGTCTGTTTGATCTGGTCTTCCTACAGCCCACCTGGGTTTTCTTAGGCTTCCTGCTTGCACAGTAAACCTTCTCTCCACCCGTTCCCTCTCAGTTCATCTGTGTCTTCTAATGAAGGCAAGTCTTGCAGAAGCATAGAGTTGGGCCTTTTTCATTTATGCCCCTTGTAATCTGTCTTTTTATTTGAATGCTTGATCTATTCATGTTTAATGCAATTACCGATATGGCTGTGTTAGATGTTTACCCTTTTAGTTTTTTTTAATAACAGCTTTATTGAGATAGAATTCACATATCATACAATCCACAACTCGAGAGGCTTAGTGGTTTTTATATGTTCACAGAGTTGTGCGACCATCACCATCATGATTCCAGAACATTGTCATCATTCCCAGCACAAACACTGTACTCAGTAGCATTCACTCTTCTCTCTCTTGCTCCCAGCTCCTGGCAACCACTAGAGACGTTCTGTCTCCACGGAGGTGCCTGTTTTGGCTCTTCTATTCAATGGAACCACACAAAATGTGGTCTTTGGAGTCGGGCTTAGCAGAATGGTCTCCAGGCTCACCGGTACCTGAGCATGTCTGAGATCACCATTCCTTTTTATAGCTGAGACGGACCATGTTGCACACGTTCCTCCATCAGCTGATAGA